AAAAAAAAAAAAAGAAGAAGAAAACAACTCATGATTTGAATAAGAAAGTTAACAAAGAGATGGGTACCACAAAAACAGAACCAAACAGAAATTGTAGAAGTGAGTAAACCTCACTTCAGTACAAAATTAGTAAACCTCATGAAGTGAGTAAAATTTAAAAAATGCAATTTAGAGCTTCAACAATAGACTAGATCAAGCAGAACAAAGAATTTCTGAACTTGAAGATAAGTCTTAACCCAGTCAGGGGCCCAGCACAGTGGTTCACACCTGTAAACCTAGCACTCTGAAAGGCCAAGGTAGGTGGATTGCCTGAGCTCACGGGCTCCAGACCAGCATGAACAAGAGCCAGACCTTATCTCTAAAAATAGCTGGGTATTGTGACAGGCACCTGTAGTCCCAGCTACTCTGGAGACTAAGACAAGGAAATCATGAGTCCAAGAGTCTGAAGTTGCTGTGAGCTGTGATGCCCAACAAGTAAGACTCTGTCTTAAATAAATAGATAAATAAAATAATCCAGACAAAAAAAATAAAAAAGGATAAAATGAACGAAGAAAGCCTACATGACACACGGGAGACCATAAAGCAACCAAATATTTGAATTCTAGGAATTCCAGAAGGAGAAGGGATAAGCAAAGGCACAGAAAACTTACTTAATGAAATAATAGCTAAAAATGTCCCAAGTCTTACAAGAGATACAGAGATTCTGATATAAGCAGCTCAAAGATCCCCAAACAGAGTCTACCAAAACAGGTTTTCTCCAAACTACATTATAATCAAACTAGGAAAAATCAAAGATAAATTCTATAAACAGCAAGAGAAATACATAAAGTATACACAGGAATCCCCGTTAGACTGACAAGTAGATTTCTCAGCGAAACTTTATAGACCAAGAGAGAATGGGATAATATATTCAAAGTGCTAAAAGAAACGAGGGTGGAGGGGGAAGCTATTAACCAAGAATACCACACCAGCAAAGCAATCTTTCAAAAACAAAGGAGATATAAAACCTTTCTCAGATAAGAAAAAACTGAGGAAATTCATCACCACTAGACTAGTCTTATGAAAAATGCTTATGGGAGTGAAATCTACTATCATGAAAACACACAAAAGTATAGAATTCAGTGGTAGAACAAATACACAAATAAGAAAGAGAAAGGAATCCAACATGACCACTACATCAAACTACCAAATCATAAAGATACATAGTAAGAGAAAGAAATGAACAAAAGATATAAAAGACAATCAGAAAACAATTAACAAAATGACAAGAGTTAATGCCTTACCTATCAATAACAATCCTGAATGTACATAGTCACAATTTTAATTACCCAATTAAAAGATATAGACTAGCTGAATGGATTAAAAAAAAGAAAAAATTCAACTATATGCAGTTCATAAGAAATTCACTTCACCGGCTTGGCGCCTGTGGCTCAAGTGGCTAGGGCGCCAGCCACATACACCTAAGGTGGCAGGTTCGAATCCCCAGCCTGGGCCCGCCAAACAACAATGATGGCTGCAACCAAAAAA